ATGTATCCCGATGATTATTACAGATATCAAATTCAAATGAAGTTATTGTATTCTCGAAAAAATTTTGCTTAAAGACTTCCCAAAAGGCTCTGTAGTGTATGACTTGTTTTAAAAACCACCTTCATACCTAATTCCTTGAAAATTTCTCCAAAGAAAGCCTGGATGGTTTACCTGTATGAGTTACCTTCATAGAATAAATAGGATTAGCTAGACCAGTCCTTAGTTTTAATCTTCCTCTTTGAAGATGATCACTTGGTGATCGAAACACGTGTAGAGGTGTTAAAAATAACGATTTGGTGTTGGAAAAAAAACTCCAGTAATATTCACTACTAACTACACCAATGGTTCCAAACAGTGCATCATAATTAAGGAGCTATGTAATTTGGCGATTCATATGATATATACTGTTATGCCTAAGTGGACTTGAGTTTTTTCATTTATTTAATAACTAGCGATCACTGCCGACATTTTTTTCTGTAATAGTGTCTCCTCAGCTCGATAGTATTTTGGTTCTGGCGAGGGAAAATTGTTTTCAATAGATTTAATCGATACTGCTTCAAGATCACTCATTACAGAAATATTTTATGGAAGATTACAAAGTTCGTGAATAGGCTACAAAAATATTTACAGGTTTCCTGCAGACATCTCAATAAAATAATCTTATAAATTTTTTTTATCTCAAGAAAATATTTTTCAATTTTAGGTTTTAATTTCTTCCATCTCCCGTTTTCATAGACTAATCCCGTTTAATATGCAGAGCTGATAACACATTCTTGCTTTTCTACAAAAAGCTAATTATTTAGATATACATAAAATAACAAGAATACTAACACTTGTTATTTGAGATACACCACAAAATATAATTTGTTCGCTAGTTTGTGTAGGAGTTTTCTGTGGCAAAAAATCGAGATAAAATGCAGGGCTGCTGAATTTTCATACTTTACATTGTTCTGGGCTATTCATTGAAAAAATATCTCAAGTGTGAAGCAAGAAGGGTCTCATAACAGTTGAATAGATGCTCCTATTATTAGTTAT